ATCATTTACATGATCTCACTTAATCTCTTCGAGTCCTCTGGAGTCAAAGGAGGAAAGAAGACTCCGTGGTTTTGTGATTTGCCCCAAACCACACTGTGGGAGAAGTCGAGCTAGGAGCCAAGCGTTTAAGCACAAAGATTACATTTTTCTGGAGCTGCTAACGTCGGGTGCCTGTTCTGAGAGCCTGGGGGAAACCTGCATTTGTCATTCAGACTCGGTATTCAGTGTGCTCTTATTGATTTATCGATGTAGGCGATATTGGAGATCAAGCCCAGACCAGGTGAGCAGTCTTCCAGTGAGCTTCTCTGTCCAGTGTTCTTCGGTGTGATGGACATTTGGGAGAGTCACAAGACAAGCCTCGGAGGCCCAAGAAATCATCAGTATTTGCTACCCTCACAGGGTTCAGAAAGGAGCCCACTGGCTGCCACCCAATAAACCAGTGCCAGACTAGGTGACCCAGCTGTGGAGCACCAACAAGAGAAGCTTTGGGAGAATTTTTTTTTTTTTTCGAGACAGGGTTTCTCTGTGGTTTTGGAGCCTGTCCGGGAACTAGCTCTTGTAGACCAGGTTGGTCTCGAACTCACAGAGATCCGCCTGCCTCTGCCTCCCAAGTGCTGGGATTACTTTGCGTGTTAAGGCATGCTGATTCTTTGCTATGGCTAAGTTCACAGGGGCATTTGGTCCCAGCAAGGAAAGTGTTTCTATGTCAAAGCATCATAATATAAAACACAGAAAATAAAGAGCTGTAGAAAGAGCATGGGGTAGGGGAGAAAGAGCATAGATTTGTAATAACACAGGTTACTTCTACGGAAAGTAAGAGGAGTCAAGCCACATACCTATATACAGAAAACAAGAACTATCTAATCTACATGAGAAGTAGAAGAAGACAAGATCTCCTGAATAAATTGGGAGCATGGGGACCATGGGAGAAAGAAGGGGATGGGGGAAGAAGGGAGGGAAGCAGAGAAAAATATATAGCGCAATAAAAACTATATAAAAAAAAAAGAAATGAAAATCTTGACGGTTGCCAATTCAACCAGCCTAGGCAGGGAGATCCAGTCCTAAAAGGAAGAAGTGGGAGTTCTGGGCATGACCACACACACATGTGATCTCAGCCATCCAAAGACTGACTTAGGAACATCACGACTTGGAGACCAACCTGCTCTAGTAAAATGATCCTCTCAAAAACTAGAAAAACCCAACAAACAATAAACACCAAGGAGTGACTTTATATTATCCGATGAAACGGAACAGATGTGATAACAGAAAATGTTACTACAGGTGGCACAGTGATCAAGGAGAAAACGAATCAAGCAAAAGCCAGAAGAAATAAAGGAAGAGGAGCTTTATTATTTATGGCTCTGAGGGTAAGAACATTGGCTGCCAAAGGACCCAGGTTCCATTGCAGCACCCACATGGCGGTTCACAATCATCTGTAACTCTAGTACCAGGGGGTCCAAAACCATCTTCTGGCCCCTATGGGTCCAGGCATACATATAGTGCACAGATTTACATATAGACAAAACACCCATACACATACATACATATTTATTTGTTTGTTTGTTTGTTTTGCTTTTTTGAGACAGGCCTTCTCTATGTACCTTGGCTGTCCTGGAACTCAATCTGTAGATCAAGCTGGCCTAGAACTCACGGAGATCTACCTGCCTCTGGGATTAAAGGTATACACCATCACCCAGCTTAATTCATAAAATTTTAACGAAATAATATAAAGTGTTTTCTCTAATAAAAGCCAATACTTGAAAGAAACTTACTGGTTAAAAAATAAGGAAGGTGGGCTGGCTAGAGAGATGGTTCAGTGGTTAAGAGCACCAGCTGCTCTTTCAGAGGACCAGGGTTCAATTTTCACTACCCACATAGCAGCTCACAACTGTCTGTAACTCTAGTTTCATAAATGTGGCACCCTCTTGGCCTTTTGGGGCACCAGGCACACATGTGGTGCACAGACATACATGCAGGCAAGACACCTATAAACATTAAAACATCAACAACGGGCAGTGGTGGCGCTTGCCTTTAATCCCAGCACTCATGAGACAGAGGCCTGGTCTACAGAGCAAGTTTTAGGACAAAGAAACTTTGTCTCAAATAAAATAAAATAAACAAGAATAAAAAAATCAACAAGGATACAAATATAGTACAGCCAGGTTGCAGGATACAAGAACAATTCTAAAAATATCTACTATATATTAGCAATAGCAATCAAAAAAAATGATGTTAAAATAATAATGAGAACAGGAGGTCAAAACTGGAAGGAACCCACCAAAAAAGCAAAAGTTCCGAAATGTCTTGCTTCTCTGGGCAGAGGGGAGCTCTGGTTTCTTATCTAACCCTAAATGAGCGCCCTTCCTGGAGGCTCTGTGTGAGGGCGGGACTGAGACTCCAGTCCTGATGTCAACCCTTTCAGCCAAGGAACCGGAGTTCTAGACGGTCGTGGTAGAAAGGGTTATTTCTATTCCCCAATCTCGGTCCATCTCCTCGGTGATTTATGGTCACAGTAGCAGCAGAGGCTCACAAGGGAAAACTATTCTCTTTCGGTCAAGAGAATGGAATCTCCAGCCTGGGTGGAGACCTAATATTCCAGTTTGGCCGGTAAGGGTCCACCCCTCAGGAAGGAGGAGCCGCCCTAAACCACGCTACAGAGAATGGACAGAATTTCTTTAGTGAGATATTGTGCTTTCCTTTCCACGCCCTTGCTCTCTGGGCAGCCAGTTACAGAGCCATGGCGGTGGAGCTTCATTAGTCTGCCTGGTCTCCTGAATTGCTGAGAAATCATAACTTTTCACTTTCTTTTTAATGTTGAGAGGCCAGAGGCAGTCAGATCTCTGAGTTAGAGCTCTTTGATTAACGGCATGTACCACTGTGGCCCTGCTGCCTGTCTCTCTCTCTCTCTCTCTCTCTCTCTCTCTCTCTCTCTCTCTCTCTCTCTCTCTCTCTCTCTCTCTCTCTCTCTCTTTTCATTTTGGTTTGTCTAGTTTTGGAGCCTGTCCTGGAACTAGCTCTTGTAGACCACAGCTGGCCTCGATCTCACAAAGATCCCACTGCCTCTGCCTCCCGAGTGCTGCTGGGATTAAAGGCGTGCGCCACCACTGCCCTGCTGTGTTGCATTCTTTTATGTTGCATTTGCTTAACTCTGTGAAGCTGTGATTCTTTGCCTGTCTAAAACACCTGATGATCTAACAAAGCGCTGAACAGCCAGTAGTGAGGCAGGAGGAACAAAAGGTGGGGCTGGCAGACAGAATAAATAGAAGGAAAAATCTGGGCGAAGAGAGGAAGAAGGAGCAGGGTAGAACAAGGAGTGGAGGATATCAGGGAACAGCCACCCAGCTACACAGACAGACATGAAGTAAGAAATAATGAAAGGTATACAGAAATAGAGAAAGGTAAAAGCCCAGAGGCAAAAGATAGACAAGATAAAGTAAGTAAAGAGAAGCTGGCTAGCAACAAGCCAAACTGAGTGCAGGCATTTATAAGAAAGAATACCGTGTGTGATTTATTTGGGAGCTGTGTGTCGCCCCCCCCCCAAGCCAAAAGAGCAAAGAGTAAATGAGTAAAAAAAAAAAAAAAAAAAGCCGGCAGTAGTGGCACAGCCTTTAATCCCAGAATTTGGGAGGCAGAGGCTGGTGGATCTCTGAGTTCAAGGCCAGCCTCGTCCACAAAGCGAGTTGCGGAACAGCCAGGACTGCACAGAGAAACCCTGTCGCAACACAAAGGAGTAAAAAGAGTGAAAGAAAACGAGAGAGAGAGAGAGAGAGAGAGAGAGAGAGAGAGAGAGAGAGAGAACAGAGAAATAGACTGTATAGATTTGGGAAGGTGGGGAGGTAGGAGAGTTCGGAGGAGTTGAGGGAGGGGAACTGTGATCAGAATATATTGTATGAAAAAATATATTTTCATTAAAAGTTAAAATTATATAAAGCCCCTCAAACTCATGGCCATTTCTAACCCTTTTTAAAAGAATCCTTTCCTTAACGCTTTGTGCCTTCACCTGCAGGTGAAAAAAGAAAATGGGGATATTCAAACACAGATTCGTTCACAAATATTTACTGCTGCACAATTTGAAACAGACAAAAGAGCTAGAGTCATCAGAGGGAGGAGCCTCAGCTGAGGAAATCCACGAGATCCAGGAGATCCAGCTGTAAGGCATTTTCTCAGTGATCCATGGGGGAGGGTCCAGCCCATGGTGAGTGGTGCCATCTCTGGGCTGTGACCTGGGTTCTCTAAGAAAGCAGGCTGAGCAAGGAAACAAGTCTGTAAGCAGCTCCTCTCCATGGCCCCTGTACCAGCTCCTGCCTCTGGGATTCTGCCCCTTTGAGTTCCTGCCCTGACTTCCTTCAGTGATGCTGAAGTGTAAGCCAAACAACTGTAACCCTTTCCTCCCCAGCTTGCTTTTTGGTCACGGTGTTTTGTCATAACAATCAAAACTCTAACATAGAGTGTTTTTTTTCTGTCCTGATCACATCTCTGCTGTATTTAAGCCTTGTCTTCACACAGAACGGCTAGTGTAAGCTATTAACTTTCTAGAAACTTAAAAGTAATTATTAGTCTGTTGGAGAGTCACAAAAAACTTTTTTTTAAAAAATGTATATCTCTTTTAAGAACAGTAAGCTTGTGCTGAACAGGGGTGGAGCACGCCTTTAGCCCCAGCACTCAGGAGGCAGAGGCAGGTGGATCTCTGTGAGTTCTAGGCCAACCTGGTCTACAAGAGCTAATTCCAGGACAGGCTCCAAAGTTACAGAGAAACCCTGTCTCGAAAAACCAAAAAGAAAAGAAAAAAGAGAAAGAAAGAAAGAAAGAAAGAAAGAAAGAAAGGAAGGAAGGAAGGAAGGAAGGAAGGAAGGAAGGAAGAAAGAAAGAAAGAAAGAAAGAAAGAAAGAAAGAAAGAAAGAAAGAAAGAAAGAAAGAAAGAAAGGAACAGAAAGGTCACACTTCTGAGGTGGGGCGTGACAGCCTCTACTAGAGATTGAACCAGTGAAGGGGATCAGTACCAGAGAAGAGGGGACTTAACCCGAAAGTCAAGGACTGGGAGTCCCTCAGCTCTGCTGTAAGACTTCATTTCATTCCTGGAAGGAAAAGAAAAGGTGACCTCACAGCTCAGAGGTAGACAGGCTCAGGCACCAACTCAGGATGAATGAGGTTTGTCTTCACAGAAGAGCAGCTGGCTCAGGTTTCTTTGGCTCCCTTCCCTCTTTTACCACGGGGCCTTTTGGGAAAGCTTATTTAAATATTTCGGGCTGACTTAACTGTGCCCCAGGGAGTGAAGGTAAGGATCTCTCCATCTTGTACCAAAGGTTACTAGGAGGGAGTGTCCCCTTGAGGCCGGCCTGTGGGCAACAGCAGTGACTGCAACTCCCACTGGGGAGGGAGGACTCAGGACAGGCCAGCTGGGGGCTGGGCAGTCAGTGCACTTGGTGCTGAGGGAGCCAGGTGTCCCTTATCTTTTGTCTCAGAAGGCTGCTGTGCTCTCGAAACCGAAACTTAGCCACATTAGTGAGTCATGAAGTGTAGTTAATGGGTGTCCAAGTGAGGCAGTATAGAGAAAAATTACCAGGACATGTGAGGGAAAAGGGGATTCTCTGTCTGGAGTTTGACTGAAGTCTCTCATCAACTGAAATCACGGCACAATTAACATATGGCTGTGAAGGCTGCCAACCAGGAGTCTATAGCCTCACCAGAAACACAAGATGGAGGAACTGTCTTGCCCTGTTACAGTCCTTACTAAATATGGTTGAGTCTCTACTATTTATCCCACACGTAAAGTTTTGTGGTGTTCCCTGTATCCTCAGCAGACGATAGCAGGAAATCAGGGTCCCCTCTTGGGGGTCCTAATATAGTTAATAAAATAATTTAAGAATATACTCAAACAGAAGTTTGAGGACAATTTTTGTTTGAATTTAAAAGAAAAATCGTGGGCAGAAGAGAGAGAGAGAAGCATGCCACCTGAGTTAAATTAGTATGAGCAAGAGCTGCATGGGGCAGGCAGTCACATGGCAGGTAAGGGGCTTGAGTAAGGAAATTCAAAGTGTTTTGAGAAAGCATGTTGAGAACAGAGATAGAGAGAAGAAAAGTTATGTCTGTGACCCTGTAAGAGGGTGTGCTGGGCGAGGGAATTCTGGCGAGGAAAAGGACACTGTTCCTTTAAGAGAATAATTATTTCCCCCTTCCTCTTTAGCATGGCCATCCTAGGGGTGATCCCTTCAGCAGGTCAAGGACCTGCCCAACTGGATTAACTCTTAAGGGAAGACACAATGGCTTTCATTCTTCTCCATAACAATATGATTTGCACAGCCAATCCAGGACATTCCATCCTGGGACCAGTAATTGGCTTCCAAATAAACATGTGACCAGTCTTGTGGGGTTCTTAAAAGGACTTCCTCATTCACGCAAGGGTCTTCTTTCTCTGCATGTCAAGAGTTACCAGTACTTCCCCACTGTCCGAGGGAGGCAGATGACCCACTATGGCACACCGGAAGGATAGAAGACCCCTCTCGCTTTTGTTTCTTTGTTAATAACAACAGTCAACCCTGCCCTAGCCCTGAACTTCCTTGTCTGGGAGCATAGTAAATGTCCTTATTGTTTGTGAACATGATTCATGGGGATGAGTTTTATTAAGTGTTCACAACTGAAATACTCTCGCCGATCTGCTGCACGTTAGTGTTTTTGGTTAGTTGCTATGGCTTGAATCCCCCCCTTCTCCTCCCCCACACACCCAAGACTCTTAAAGCCTCGGTCCCCAGTTTGTGGGTCATAATGAGTTTGCAAATCATAAAGGGGCTACTGAGTTGGAGGAAGTTAGGAAGTAGCACCTACTTAGTGGAAGTGGAGGCAGGTAGTGGGGGTTATATCCTACTTCCTCTCCACCCTGAGCAGAGCATCCTTCTCCCACTACGACTGTCCTGTCCGACATGACATTTTGCCTTGCTGCAAGCTTACAAGCAGTAGAGCCAGCCGGTCACAGATCTCTGAGCCTGTGAGCCGAAATAAACATGTCTCCCTCTTCTATTGTTTTCTTGGGGATCCTGCCACAGCGATGGACAGTGTCCAGCACACGGCTTCCCTAGATGCCGGTAAAATATTTTCTTCAACTCATCCAGGACAGTTAGAGGGATCTCTGAAGAATACACATAGCTTCAAATTTACAAGCACTCTACAGTATTCAGCCCCTGGCATCTTGTTACGATCACTTTATGTCAAGCGCTCTTGTCATCTCTTCATGTCCCCCGTTGCAGGCCCAGGTGAGGTTTGAGAATGTAATTCTTTCCTTAAGCACATAAAAACTAGCAGGTGGGTGGAGGGTGTCGCTGAGTGACAGGACTGCTAGGCCTGTGTGAGGTCCCGAGGCTTAAGCAGGCTGTTTAATTCTGCTTAAGTTCTGAATTCTTTTAAGAAGACTGCTTGAATAGCTTTCTGACCCCATATTTCTCTTCTTGCTTGTCTTACTGACCCAACCTTTCCTTCCAGCCCTCTCAAATTTCAGCCTTCCCTGCCCACCAGGAACTGTTTCTCCTTTAAGTATCTGCGCTGTTCCTGTAAGTATGGTGGAGTGTATTTATTTACAAAGAGGAAACAAACCCAGGAGATTTTCATCAGGACGACCACAGAAGAGGTAACCAGTTCCTGTGCCTGTTTTCCTCTGTGAAATAAAGAAAATTTATAAACTGCTAACTCGGTGCGCTCCCATGAACTTCCTTGAAAGTTCCAGAGTTATATTGGAGTCAGTTTTAACTACCAAGGATTTCAAAGAGAATGAGGAATTAATCAGGAAGCTTTATTTCAAGAGCCACACTTATTATTTAAAACATCACCGGCAATCATTCAACATATAAAGGTAATAACTTCTTTAATGTAGCCATTCGTCATTTCTGGACGCCAGCCCATTAACCCGAGCAATCAACCCTGGTTTCCTTTCAGTCCCTCTCAGCTCATTGAGACAGATTTTCCTTCAGCTGTGTTTCGTGTAATAGCCTCTAACTATCTGCTTTATATGCACTTACAGGTATGTGTAGAAGTAAAAATAAATCGCATGTTTTTTTTATTCTTACATAGCAACTATATGAAAGTTAATTTTCTACCCATTAAGTGCTTTGCCTTTTAATTACTTAACAATTTTTTTTCTTATTTTCCTTGGAATGTACTTCTAAATTACTTTCCTGTTTGCTATAGAATTCTATGAAACTGTTCAGTGTAAATTAGGAAACATTACCTAGTTTTCATGTCCCCAAGGATTTAAATTTTTTCATTTATTTCATTAATTTGCTTTCTTCCCTTTATTTTATACGTACGGGTGTTTTGCCTGCCTGATGGCTGCACACCACACACCTGCAGTGCCTGTGGAGACCAGAATAGGGTGCTGAATTCCCTAAAGACCTGGAGTTACAAAGTGTGAGCCACTTATATGGATGCTGGGACTCCAACCCAGGTCCTCTGGAAGAGCAGACCGTGCTCTTGATCACAGAGCCATCTCTCCAGCCACAATAATTTTGTTTTGAGAAAAAGGTCTCACTCCTCAGGGGTCTTGGTCTGCCGCCTAGAGCTTATTATATAGCCCTGGCTGCCTTGAATTCATGGCAATACTTCTGCTTCAGCTTCTAAAATACAGGGATCATAGGCATGAGTCACCATGCCTGGATTCCCAAGGGACTTAAACAACTGTTGCCTGGTGGTGGTGGCACACGCCTTTAATCCCGACACTCTGGAGGCACAGGCAGGTGGGTCTCTGTGAGTTCAAGGCCAGCCTGGTCTACAAGACCTAGTTCCAGGACAGGATTTAAAGCTACAGAGAAACCCTGCCTTGAAAAAACAAACAAAGCAAAAAAACCAAACAAACCTGTTTTATTATTAAAAGTTGTTTAATCTTTTGTGAAAAACAATGAGAAATTTATAATCCCCCCCCAAGACAAAAATTTTGATTTTGTGCTTCCAAAGATACCAAGAAAGTAAAAAGACAACCTGAGTTTCTGCATGCATATGGTGCACATGTACTCAGGCACATAAACATAAAATTAATATTAAAATGAAATATTATATCTCTACTCTATTTTATTATAGTAACAAAATTGGTTCTAGAAATATCTTCAGAATACTGGGGAGGAATATATACAAAAAAAAACAATATCTGGGTGTGGTCATGCACACCTGTAATTCCAGCACAGGGGAAACCGAGGCAGAAATCTTGACAGTTCCAAGCAAGCTTTCACTATATATTGAGACAGACCCTGACTCAATAAATAAAACAAAGCATAAATTACAACAGTCAGCAATGGCAAACCATATCTGAATTCACATTCTGCTTTTTCAAACATCTCACCATGGTTTATGCTTCCTTAGTGTTCTCTGTGTTGCAATAATAACTACCTCTAGACATCTGTAACATCTTCGAGGTGAAGGGTACAATTAAGGCACAGCTCAGCTGCTGCCGTGGCTGGGGGTGGAATGCAAAAAAAAAGGAAAAAAAAAGAAATCGTCTTTATGTTCTTTTCAATTTGCTCCCCAAACCATCAGAGACGAAAAAGCAGCCAGGTATAAGCTCTGTCCAGAAGGTGTGAATCTCCGCCTCTGCCTCACAGAAGGATTAAAAAGTGAGAGATTTCAGGAGCTTTGGCTTCCTGTTAAATTTGTCATCTATGAATTTTTCACAGTTCCTTAATTAGTGTCGTTAGGAATGTCACGGCTGTGAATCACAGAAGTAGAAAGAGAGCCCTGAAAAGTCTCAAGCTTCACTGAACACGGAGGATGGGCACATTAGGGTAAGAAGAAGGTCCTTTAGGCCTGGAGTTGCTGCTCAGTGGTAGTGCGCTTGCCTGGATGCATGAAGCAGTTCATACGAAGGGAGAGCACATATACTAAAATTGGAACGATATAGAGATTAGCGTGGTCCCTGTGCTAAAATAACATGCAAAAGCATAAAGCGTTCTTTATTTTTATGAGGGTGGTATGTGTGAAAATAGTAGGTATTGATTGAATAATATAGCTACATTTTTGCAAAGTTAACATTTATGTAATCTTGCATCATATGAATATGTAGTATAGGTGCTTGTTAATTACTTAGTTTATATTCAAATTAATGTGTAAGTTAAAATGTGCATTTAGGATCTCAGCTCGGTTTGGTAATATGTGCTAAAGTCCCAGCCCAATGGTTAATGCTCACTGACTGCTTTATAGAGGATCTCAGTTTGATTCCTAGCATCTACATGGCGGCTCACAAATATCTGTAATTCCCATTCCAGGGGTTTCCAATGCTTCTTCTAGTCTCTGTGGGCATCAGAAACATAAATGGTACACAGATATAAGTGTAGTCAAAACAGCCATACACATAAAACTAAAAAATAATAAACAACACAAGCAGGCAGACATAGTGTGTTTACCTATTGGGTCATCTTGTCATCCTAGAATTCTGTAATCTTAAAATCTAAACTCGCGGGGCTGGAGAGATGGCTCAGTGGTTAAGAGCATTGCCTGCTCTTCCAAAGGTCCTGAGTTCTATTCCCGGCAACCACATGGTGGCTCACAACCATCTGTAATGAGGTCTGGTGCCCTCTTCTAGCCTGCAGACATACAGACAGAATATTGTATACATAATAAATAAATATTTAAAAAAAATCTAAACTCACTTTATAGAATCGACACATTTCCAAGGCTGGAGAGATAGCTTGCTTGGTGTTGTGCAAACAGGAGGGTGTGAGTTCATTTTCACAACACACTTCCATAAAGAAACACCTGCTGCAGCAGTGTGTGTGCCTATAATTTCAGCTCCAGTGAGGAGACAGGGAGATTCCCTATGGGGTTTGCTTGCTAGACAAATAAACTAAACTAGCAAGCTCAGGGTTTGGTGATAGACCCTGTCTCAAGAAATAGGGTATGGGAAAATGTGGTGCCCGCCTTGGGAGGCGCACAAGGCCATCCAGTGACTTCCCACTGAACTCCCTCAGAAGAGCCTACAAGGCCTTCTGTGACTTGCTTCACTGCTTCTCTCATCTCACCTGCAACATTCTTAAAATTTTTCTAAAACAAAATTATTTTGTGCATATTTTATTTATGTTTCTACATGTGTGTCTAGTACCACTTTCATGTCTGGTGCCTGCAGAGGACAATAGAGGATGTCTGGTCCCCTGGAACTTGAGTTACAACAGATGTTGCAGGCTGCCACGTGGGTGCTGAGACCTGCATCTTCTGAAAGAGCATCTTTGCTCTTGACCACTAAGCCAGTCTGCAGCGCTCTCAGGTCACCCTGTAATCCCACACTGAGTCTGCATCGTGGTTCATGTAATGCCAAAACAAGTATGGCCAAGACATCAAAGACTAGAGAAAGACCTGCAGCAGGCAAGTGCCCGCAAGGAGTTATTTCCAAAACAATGCCCTCTTTGAACAAAGGGAGCATGGAGATTTTATCCAGAAAACCAAAACACACCCACACAGGAAAATACTTTATGGCTGGGGTCATTCCTGAGCAGGAACGGTTAAAGACATTTTTCAGCAAGTTCACTGTAAGGTTCAAGAAAGAAAGATAGTAGACACATTTCTAGGTGTGCTTATATGAAGGTCAAGAGCATAAGCTCACAGTTTTAAAATGGTGAACAGGTGTGCTTTTGGCATGCTTAGTTTAGTAGATAACTTAATTCCTAGTTCTTTGAGGCTTTTCATTTTGAAGAGATGTTGAGGCCGGGCAGTGGTGGCACATGCCTTTAATCCCAGCACTCGGGAGGCAAAGGCAGGCGGATCTCTGTGAGTTCGAGGCCAGCCTGGTCTACAAAGGGAGTTCCAGGACAGGCTCCAAAGCTACAGAGAAACCCTGTCTCGAAAACTGCCCCCCCCAAAAAAAGAGATGTTGAGAGCCTTTCTGTGTTGATTATGATGTTCATGTGATCTCTGCTCTCAAATTTATAAAAATGCATATTGATTTGCATATGTTGAACCAAACTTGCATCCCTGTAATGAAACCTACTTGGTCAGGGTGTATGTATTGCTTAATTTCTTCTGGAGTTTGATTTGCAAAAAAATTTGTTGAGCATTTTTGCATCTATGCTAATTAGGGGTATGTTTGCAATTGCTATATCTTCTTGATAAAATTTTCCTTTATTAACATGTAGTGGATTTAGCCAGGTGTGGTGGCACACATCTTTAATCCCAGCACTTGGGAGGCAGAGGCAGGTGGAACTCTGTGAGTTCAAGGCCAGCCTGGTCTATAAAGTAGTTCCAGGAGAGCAAGGACTGTTATACAGGGAAACCCTGTCTCAAACAAACAAACAAACAACTCAAAAAACTTGAAATGGTCTTTTTCATCTCTTCTTTTTGGTTGAAAACTCTTCTCAGATGTCAGAATAGATATATCAGCTTGTTTTGGGTTTTTATTTGCTTGATAGAATGTTTTCCATTAACTTTTAGTCTGTGGAGTTGTTTGTTTTAAACCAGTGATATATGTTTTTTAGAGACAACAGAGGATAGGATATAATTTTCAGTTCTAGTCAGTCAGTCTGTGTCTCTTTGTTGGTGGATTGAGGCCACTTATTTTCAAGATTATTTTTGTGAAGTCTTTACTAATTCCCATAATGTGGTTGTTTTTCTGGTTGTTTGGATTATTGTTTGGTTTTGCTTTCTTCTCCATTAGTATTAAGGATTTGTTGGTTGACTGTGCTGACATAATGGAGTCCTAGCTCTGCTCTCTGTACCTCTACACATGTATTCTTTCCTATTCTTTTGTGCCTGAAAGTTCTTTTTCTGTGCACATTACACCCTTAAATACGATATTCTGCAATGCTTAGTGGTAATGAATTCCCTTACTTTGTGCTTGTATTGATCTATGATTTCCCTATAAAATTTAAAATGTGGCTTTATGAGATTTGGTGATCTTGGTTGGCAGTTGTTACTTTCAGGCTGGAGATATATCATCCATGCTTTCTTAGGTTTTAGAGTTGCTGACAAGATACCTGATGTTATTCTGACATTTCTACCTTTGTACGTGACTTGGTATTTTTCCCTTACAGCTTTTAATATAATTTCTTTGCATTTTGACATTTTGACTATAATAAGTTACAGAGAGATTCTTCTTTGATCACGTCTATTCAGTGTTCCCAATGTCTCTTGTATTTGGATGTCTATTTTTTCCCTGTAGATTTGGGGAATTTTCTGCTTTGATTTTTGGGCCTTAAGTTTTATTTCAGCTCCTTTATCTTTTTTTTTTAAAATATTTATTTATTTATTATGTATACAATATTCTGTCTCTGTGTATACCTGAAGGCCAGAAGAGGGCACCAGACCTCATTACAGATGGTTGTGAGCCACCATGTGGTTGCTGGGAATTGAACTCAGGACCTTTAGAAGAGCAGGCAATGCTCTTAACCTCTGAGCCATCTCTCCAACCCCTCCTTTATCTTTCTTATGGGCTTCTGGATCTGATGCCTTTAGCATCCAGGAGGCAGAAGCAGACAGATCTCTCTGAGTTGAGGCCAGCCTGTCTACAGAGTGAGTCCACAACAGCCAGGGCTACATTAAAAGTTTTTTTTCTCAAACTGGGAGTAGTGATTTGTGCCTGTAATCTTAGTACTTGGGAGGCCAATAAGGTCTATGTAGTCAGTACCAGACTAGCCAGGGCTACAAAGCAAGACATTTAATTATATAAAACATACGGAAAAATATTCTCCGATTGTATTTATCTTTGCTTCAATTTTACAATCTATGGAATAAAGTATTCATCTGAAATAATTAAGGAACTGAATATTATTTTACTTTATTTTAACAGGGAGAATGTAATTAAGCAGAATTTTACTTAAATATGTGTTCCAGTCATACTTTAGTTATGATCAACACCCTAAGAAAATATAGATTTCCCTTCTCATAATATATAAAAGCCAAGACTTCCTATAATAATCATGGCAGCTGTTGGTCAAGTTATTTTAAAAGTTAAAAGCTGAAAACAATTGTGAATAATGAGTATAACTGGCTGTATTTGTATTTCTGTATACTGTTTTCCTATTCTGAGGCCTTCATAGAAAACCTAAAGCGTAATGCCAGCTATCATAAATCAAATCTGTATTCCAAGAATTTGGGAGGTTCAGGCAGGAAGATGGAGTTTGAGGCCAGTCTGGGTTAGTAATGCCATCCTGCATTAAAAAAAAAAAATTGCCATGGAATGAGATAGCTAAGTACTTTACTTGTATGATCTGGGTGCTGCTCTAGAAGCTGGGAGTTCAAGGGGAAACACTTTAAGGTCATGACCTCGGGAGATTCCTTCTCAGAAAGTGAAAGCAGAATTCTTAGCAGTCTTCTCATGAACCAGGAAAGGATTTACTTAGCACCTACCTACTGCCTGGTCCTATGGCCCTGTGGTTCTAAGATTAAAGACTGTCTTTACCTCCATGATGGTTGGGTCACAAATAATGCAACAGTCAATTAAAATCTCTGGGCCCTGGGGCTGGAGAGATGGCTCGGTGGTTAAGAGCATTGCCTGGTCTTCCAAAGGTCCTGAGTTCAATTCCCGGCAACCACGTGGTGGCTCACAACCATCTGTAACGAGGTGCCCTCTTCTGGCCTGCAGACATACACACAGACAGAATATTGTATGCATAATAAATAAATAAATATTTTAAAAAACTCTTGGCCCTTTAATCCCCAATTTGTATTCTCATCAGTTCTTCATCTGTAAAATGGGGCTCATATACACATTTCTTCATCTGTAAAATGGGGTTCATATACACATTTCTTCATCTGTAAAATGGGGTTCATATACACATTTCTTCATCTGTAAAATGGGGTTCATATACACATTTCTTAGCTTTGCTGCCAGCATGAAAAAACACCATGTTGCAATGTGGGTCCTGGGTAGTCAGGCTTCTCACCGGCTCACTGGCTCCAGTCCCAGAAGTAGCAATTCTATTTCATGCCTCAATGGACTGGCAAATTACTACATGTCCTGGAGTTTCAGGACTACTTGTGATATTTAAAACCTCTAATGCTAAATTGTAGGATGTTGGAGCCAGGTGGTAAGTATTATTTTGGGGGTAAAAGCAGGCTGCCATGGAAATAGAGAAAAAAGACACTTGCTGTTGGGGTTGTAGCCCAAGGGTAGAGTGTTTCCCAAAGCATTCCAGGGCCTGGGCTCTACAGGAGTGGGGGATAGCCTGGGGAAGTGGTAGAGGAGGCTCAAGGGGTCCTGGGGTAAGGTGTGGAGGAGTTAGGTAAGGGTGGAGAAAAGAATTAGGGCTGAAGCTGAGATCCACTGCCTTAGCAAAGCCACAGATACTCAACTGCAGGTTGAGAAGAGACTTTTGAGCCTACTCTGGTCCCCGTGCTAAAGCCCATGAAGCCACCTTAGAATAATGTTTTTAAATGAGTAAAGTAGGAACGCAGTTATTGCGGCATTATCAGAATACATAAAACCAAGTGCGATGCGTGCGTGCAAACATTTATCTACACATCAGTGATAAGGTCTGGAGTAGGTGTATTAACTCCCATGACTTCGGGGCTGCAGGATTGTGTCAGAGGATAAGAGCACTTTTGCTGTTGAAGAGGAACTGGGGAACTGGGTTCAGTTCCTAGTACCCACGAGGTGGCTCACACTGTCTGTAACTCTAATCCCAGAGTCAGGCGCCCTCAATCAGGCATGCATGCAGTATGAATATATACATGCAGACAAAATACAAAAAAAAAGAACAAAAAATAACTTTAAAAAATAACTACCATAATTTCACAATAGCAATACGGACAGTTTTTTTTAAGTATCTATGATTACTGGAATGCACTGGATATTTTGATTTTTAATGATCATGAAATCATATTATTTGTTTTGTTTTTCAGGTAGTCTGACTATGTAGCACAGGTTGGCATGGAATTTTGTACCCTTCTGTCTCTCGCCCTCTGAAAGGCTAAGATGATCGGAATGAGCCCCTATGCTGGACTTGAATTAAGGTTAAGATGATCGGAATGGGGCTGGAGAGATGGCTCAGCGGTTAAGAGCATTGCCTGCTCTTCCAAAGGTCCTGAGTTCGATTCCCAGCAACCACATGGTGGCTCACAACCATCTGTAATGAGGTCTGGTGCCCTTTTCTGGCCTTCAGGCATATACACAGACAGAATATTGTATACATAATAAATAAATAAATATTTTAAAAAAAAGATGATCGGAATGAGCCACTATGCTGGACTTGAATTTATTCTATTTCTCTTTTGCCACAATGAGGATTTTTTTCATTTCTCTTCCTGCTTCCTTCTCCTCCTGCTTATGCGTGTGAGGCAAGCAGTTTATCACTAGGTTATATTCTCAGCCCAGATAGTGTTAATATTGGGATTTACCTACTGCACTCATACTTACAGGCCATCTTAAATTTCAGTTAGATATGAGTAAAAAAATAAATGAGTATTTTTTTCTGTATCTTAGTTCAACCCACCTCAGCCCCCAGGTTATGGACCCTTAGTTTTCTCTGTACCCTCTGTATTTGGTCAGCTCCCATCTCTAACTCTGGTTAAGCCATTACCTTTCTTAAAACTCTTTATTGGAGCTGGGTGGTGGTGGCACAGGCCTTTAATTCCAGGACTCAGGAGGCAGAGGCAGGAGGATCTCTGTGAGTTCGAGGCCAGCCTGGTCTACAAGAGCTAGTTCCAGGAAAAGCTCCAAATCTACAGAGAAACCCTGTCTCGAAAAAAAAAAAAAACAAAGAAAAAAGATAAAAACAACTCTTCTTTATTAAGTCAAAGTCAAAGTTATTTTCTTTTCCTGTGAGTCACAACTCCCTCTAAGGTGGGTCTGTCTCTACTCCCCAACTTCTGTTCTTTCAGAATAGAACTTGTCAAACACAATTCACTCTCCCAGCCCCAGAGAGGCTGTTGCTCTGCAACCCGGGCTGTCCTCAATTTCACCGTTGTTCCTCCTCAGACTCCTGAACCCTGGGTTTACGGGCAGGTGCCACACCCAGCTATAACCACAGCACAGTGTGAGAGCTGCTCTGTTCACTCTCTATCTCCAGAGCTTCTCAAGTGCCTGGAACACGATCTGCCTGGTCCCCAAGCGCTACACAATTCTGGGGTGTGCCTTTCCTTCTGAACTCTATTTGAATGGCTCCCCCGGGATGGCATAACTGTCAACCCCAGGCTGACAGTATTTTACTGAAGAACAAACTGGCCTCAGCTGGGTGAGGAAGAGGTCTCCAGTGGACAGATTCAGGCAGGAGGCATCCTGGGATTACATGTACTCCGTTTTCTAAAGCAGTTATTTTTAATCTTTGTGCATGTTCGTGGTCGTTTATAATGTGAAAGTGATGATTATTACAGGAGGCTTTCCTGATCATAAGCAGAATTGTTTCTTTTACAGCTTCTGAGTAAACTGGATTGGGGTTTATAAACTCTGGCCAATGAGCTAAATCTGGTCTGCCAAATGTTTTGTATGATACTCAAACTAAAAACGATTTTTACACTTCAAAATTACGGGAAGGAAAAAGTCAAAAGAATACAGTATCATGTTGATTAAGTTTTATAGGAACACGGTCACTGTCTTTCATTTAGATACCTTTAAGGCTACTCTCCTGTTACTGGGGCCAAGTTCTTAGGTTTACAGACAGAAGAAAAAAAGACTGAACCCAGAGAGATACAGGCAAAGCCTTTATTGGTTGAGATTGAGTAGAGGTACAGCCCAGACCAAGGGCAAGTCAGGGGTGGCTCCTTAAGGGGGACGTGGTAGCTAGCTAAACACAGAAAGATTTCACTCAAAAAATGGGCCCAAACTTGTTTCCTTGACCCATTCCTGAGTGGTCAGTGGCAGGTCCTCCACTTCAGTAAGCTTGCAGAGAACGTTCCTGTTTGGTCAGTGACAGCCCAGTTGTAAGCAGCTCATTGGTCAGCTTCGACTTTACAATAAGGCAGGTTCTCTGTTCTTTGCATCTGTGCTAGTAAGATGTGTTTATAGCTGCTGTGACTTTAATTCTGGGACTGCCTTGATCGCTGGGTCCTCCCTTATACATCCTTGCTTGATCTCCTTGTGAAAGCCCAAGACAGGAATAGTCCCTGTGGGCCGCCTCTCAACATCTGATTATACTCTCCTCCTTGTGGGTACTTCTCATCCGTCTCATTCATACATTTGAATAGTCGTAACAGAGATCATATGATCAACCAAGAGTGGTGGAACATGCTTATAACCTAGCACTTGTGAGGAGGAGGAGGAGGCAAGAAGTTCAAGATCATCCTCAACTACACAGTGAATTCAAGACCAGCCTGGACTACTTAAGAACCTATCCCCAAGGAGCAAACTCAGAAAAGTGGGGTGGGATCATGTGGTTTGCAAAGTCTAAAATATCTATATTACTTTTTATTAACAATGTTTGTGACCCCTGCATTAGCTCTCAAAGCCTTGATGGCACCGTTTGTAACTAAAAGGCATTCAGCACATGTTTGCTGAGTTGGAGTGAAGTTCTAAAGTGTCTTGATTTAATTTGTTGTTGTTGCCAAGCTAGGGATGAAAACTAGACCTGTCACGGATAGACAAGTACTCTACCATTGAATTTGTCTGTCTCTCTTTTTCCTTTCTGTGTCCGTCTCTCTTTTTCTTCTCCTCCTCTTCCCTTTCTCCTTCTGTTTTTCCCTTTTCCTTTTTGCTTCACCCCCCCTCCCCCTTTTTGGTTAAACATAGGTCTCCTTGGGATGGAGAGATGACTCATCAGTTAAGGGTTAAGAGCACTGGCTGCTCTTCCAGAGGACCCAGGTTCAATTCCCAGCAGTCACATGGCAGCTCACAACTATCTGTGATTCCATTTCCAGGGGATCCAACACCCTCACACAGACATAAATGCAGGCAAAGCACCAGTGCACATAAAATAAAAATAAATCATAAAAAAAAGATAGTGTCTTCTGTATCCTAGGCTGGGCTCGAGCTTAGAATCATCCTGCCTCCATCTCCCCACTACTAGAATTACAGGTGTACACCATGATGCTCATTTACCCCAGCCTTCTTTTTTTTCAATTTAATTTTATGCGTATGGATGTTTTGCCTTTATGTCTGTCTGTATACTACTTGTGTGCCTGGTGCTTAAGAAGTCTAGAAGAGGGCATGGGATCTCTCCAGCTCCTACCCCAGTTTGTTATGCCCAGATCACAGGGACCCTCAAAAGACCATCATGGAGACTGAGTCCCTATGTAAAAGTAAAGAGCCTTTATTCAAGTCTGAGTCTCCCTGTGTCCAATGCCGTGGCACAATCAGAGAGCCTCAAGTTCAGAGGTTGAAGTGAGGGATTTCTAAGGTTCAGGACCCCTGATGGCTGGCATTTGTCTAAGGGTGTCCTGGCCAAAAGGGAATGGGTGTGTGCTGGACTTTGGAATGTTAGGTATTTTCTCTTGGATGGTTCGTTCCTGGGTGGTGCCTGGGTGATCTTTCTGGGAACCAGGTACTGCCTTTGGGTAAACTAAAACTCAGGCCTCTATTGAGCTTGTAATGAGTGGGTCCTACAAATCTTCTTGATTTAAGTTTTATGACTCAAATTATTTCCCTGGCTGTCGACAGAGTTTTTTTTTTTTTGGCCCCACTGGTTCCAAAATAAATGCATAGAGACTTAATATTAATTTTAAATGCTTGACTGGTAGCTCAGAATTATTACTAGCTGACTCTTAGATTTTGAATTAACTCATATTTCTTATTTACCCTCTGCCATGTGGCGGTACCTTCTTTCAACATGGCATGTTCATCTAGCTTCTCCTTGTGCCTTTCGAGACTCCCCTGACTCCTCCCTCTTCTTCCCAGTGTCCTCTGTGTCTTGCTGTCCTGTGTATACTTCCTGCCTAGCTATAGGTCAGTCAGCTCTTTTATTAAACAAATCATAAGGCGCCTTGGCAAAGACACATATTCACAGTGTACAAAAAGACCATTCCATAACACCTGGCTCTACATAAATAATACTCATTGTATTTGAAAGGATATTAGGTATTATCTTAATAGTAAAAGTAGTTTCAGTTTTCCTTCCTTCCTTCCTCCTATTTTGCCCCCTAAGTTTTTGTTTTTAAAAGAACATATTCTTAAGCCAAGTGTGGTGGTGACCATCTAAGTCACTTCCACAGCCCCAGCATCTGAGAGGTGGAGCTGACAGTGTCAGGAGTTCAAGGTCATTCTTAGCAAGTTTGAGGACAATCTGGGACATGCAGGACTACTTCTCAAAAAAGCAAAACTAACATCACCTATATATTCTCATTCAACAAAGCACTAACACTTACTCTTATTTGGGAAGAAAAGGCAGAGGCATCAGAAGTACACTTCAGCACTGCTGTTCATCACTGAAGGACAGGAACTTAAAACAGGCAGAATCCTTGGAGGAGTGTTGCTTACTGGTTTGCTTCCCAGGGCTTACTCAGCTCACCTTCTTATAGAACCCAGGACACGCCCCAGGATGGCACCACCCACCACGGGCCAGACCCTCCCCCATTGATCACAAAATAAAAACATGCTTTACAGATGGATCTCAGGGAGGCATTTCCTCACCTGAGGCTCCTTTCTCTGATGACTCTATAGCTTGTGGTGAGTTGACTTACAAAATCACCCAGTACAGTTTCCTGTAGTCTTAACACTCAGAAGTTCAAGGTCATCCTCTACTAGTGAGTGGTGAGTTCAAGGCTAGCCTGAACTTGTCTCAAATGAAAACTTAAAGACAAAAGACAAAACTGGGCTAGTGGTTAAATAATTGGTAAAGGCCCTTGCAAAGGCCTGATGACCTAAATGTGATCCCACGGATATACATGGAAGAGGAACAGAATTGACTCTTACCTCTGATAAGCACACACACACACACACACACACACACACACACACACACACACACACATATTGTGGCCTGCACCTCCCCTACTACAATAAAGTAATACATACATTTCTAGAGAGTAAAGCATATTGGTAGTTGTTCATGGCTCCCAAATGCAATTTCAGTTTAGGGAAATCCAGAATGGTGTTATTTTGTAAGTTTTTTTCTTTTTCTTGTTAAAACTAGGGTAACCAGTCTTGGGGCAGTCAAACCGGTTTGATGGGTGCCCCTCCTACTACTTCCATCAGAAAGTGATTTCAGACCCTCCTGATT